GTAGGGAAGACAATATATACAAGCAAAAAGACTAATGGCGCAACATGGAAATGGAAAACAGGTGGTCCTGAGACTGCATGTACCCAGCTCTCATAAACTGCAACAGCATCAGCTATGAAGGTGCTGAATGCAACTCACTGGTCTGAAATGACAACCCTACTCTGATTTAAATCTGCTCTAATTCAGGAAACTGGCTCCAGATTTCGCCTGAGCCATTGAGGGTAGGGTGCTGTTCGCCTCCTCACCTCTGAACAACATTCAGGCACATCTGAGGTGCTATGGCTAAACGCTTAAGATCAGCAGTGGAGCTCTCATAAACAAACTTCAAAGTAAATATTTTACCAGGCATATGTAAGTACTTATTAAGATTTATATCGTATCTTCGGTGTCCTTGACATTTTACAACAGTGTTTATTTCCTTGCTTGCTAATTCACAGAATTGGATAATCTACAAGGAATTTACATGTCAGAAATGAGTGAGATTCTTGCGCGTAACTTCATAAATATGGCATTAGCACAACGACGTTCTAATATAAGCATACACAATGCTAAGTAGGAATAAAGCATTTCCTAAGGGCAGAGGAGGTCCTGTATGCCACTGAACAAGCGTTGCGTGACAACCTGCATGGAACTCAATGAAGGCGAAAGGACCCAGTTCCTCCTGTGAAGCATCGCTCTCTGCTGCCTCTCCGGGCTGAACACACAGAGGAAAGAGGCTGGGAATTAGGTCAGTGAATCAATGACCCTCCAGTTGTATCAGTCCAGCACTCTTGTCAGGGGAGAGGAGATGAAACAGCTCTATGAAGACAGTGGGATCTAGTCTACAAATGTGGACTCCTTTTTTTCCAATGAAGGAAGAACCCACAAGTAGTCTGTGTATTGTGACCATTTATAAAAGTCCAACATATGGCTTGTATTCACAGTTGTTAGTGTTCACACATAAGATTACAATGAAAATAAATCCCATTATAATGAATAATTCTAGTTTCACCTGGTCACTAATGGGACATAAAAATCATTCTGAGACATCGTTTCATAGAGACACCTAATGAAAATGTTTCCAACAAGAATCTGTAAAAATTAAACTGGGGATTTAAAGATTCCTCCATAATGCAAGGGAGTAGCTGTGAATAGTTTTGGAGAAGGCACATACCATAACCAGATGCAGGCTTTTGTTATTCTGTTTAAGGATATCAGAGGCGTTTTCTTTTTTCCCCTGACTCATCCTTTTCCCTAGTGGATATTCTGACCCTTAGTCGTGGCAAATCCAGCAGTACCAAAAAGTTCTCTCTGGTACCTCATTAATCACTCCCCTGCCATGTGCTATCTTACCTGCAGATGTAATTCTTCTTGCAGGATTCTTGTAAATTCAGGCAGTTTGGTTTCTCCCTGTCCTCATATGAACACACAGGAACAATAGTCTGCCGTCTCCTTTCTGTACAGGCTACGTCTCGACAGGAGCAGAAGAGCATCCCGTAGCTGTGCTTTGGGGGAACTTTGTCAAAAAATAGCCGGAGGGCCTTATGACACTTCCGCTTGTTACAGATTTCATTAGACGTGCTGCTGGTGCAGGGGGTTATGTAAGCAGATCTGAACCTCTTGCAGGTATCATTTAGGTTACAAGCTTTTGCTGCATCCAAGCAATTGTTCCCCTTTGAAAGTACTGGCTCCACTAGAAAAAACAACACAACAGCAGTAAGAAATGTGTCACATTTATATTGTGCTTTGATGTTTGTGTTTATTTCACTGTTAATGAGATCCTGATTATATATTTGTTACATACAAAACTTTCAGTGCCAGACACTGCGACCAGTCCTTATGTTTCTTAGGGTAATGGTTTAACAAGTGAACAAGAGCACAGGCATGCGTTAAGATCAGAATGCTGGCAAATAAATGATGATTACACAGGGCAGGCTGTACTTCATCTTCTTTATAGCAGACATGCAGGATGAATATTGGGTAAGACTTGGCCTCACTAAAAAAAACTATTAAAATCACTGGTGAACTGGAAGGGATATGTTTGGCCCACTGCACAAGAACACATTGAGAACGTGGGCTCCTAACTCTTGTTTTGTAAAGCTCTGACATGCTTTATTTTTCCCTTGAACAGTATCAATGACATTCAGTGTCTACGCCAGGTAACAACATTTAAATGTAATTTATGTACTCTGCAGAATGTAAAAGCCACATGCCTGTTACTACAGTTTTTGAGGTATGAAAGCAGCCCACCCAGACAGAAAGGAAAGCAGGTGCAGCGCCACGACTGAGCTCTCTAAGGCCACCCACGAGGCCTGCAAGCTCCATGCTTAGTTAAAGGCACTGTTATAAGATCTATAGCTGCCACCTGAGTCCTGGAAGTTTTATGAAGTTTACAAGCTTTGAAGAAGCTGGCATAGAATTAACAAGTGACTGTGAAAGAAATGTTTTAAAACAAGGAGTATGTGTGTCTCACACTCATGCTACAAGAAGTTATAGAAAAAATTAGACTCAGATAAAAGTTAAGACTATAATTACACATTTAATTTTGCAATACATTATCCAGATATTAAAACCCAATATATTCTTTGCTTCAAAATGAAGGCAACTGGCATTAGAACACAAAATTCAATTAAGAATAATTGTAATGCTGCTTTGGATATCAGGAATGCAAACATCATGGATCCAAGCAAATACATTAACTTCCCCTTGCTATAGAATTTGCAAGCTGAACAAAACATTTTTCAAATATTTAAAACTCCACAGCAACCTCTTAGGGGGGGGCTGGCCAAAGATAAAATCTCTCAAACAATCTAAAGTTCCTCCTAAAACCACTCTTTTTCTAGATCTTCCATCTTTTCCCAAAAACTCAGTCCAAGGCCCTTCTATAAATCAATGCCACTCCTCTCCACTCTCCCACTACTCTGCCTCCCATTCCCAGATCAGAAATCAACGTTTTCTCTTTTTCCCTGGCAGGAAACGATGATGTAGCTTGGCTGAGATGCTGCACTGAGGTATGGCACTTGTTTGAACTGACTGTGCCCAAGATGGGCCTTGGATGCTAGCACACACTTAGCATTATACAAATACCTCACCTGCTACTATCCCATGTATCTTACCTATCCAGAAATAACATAATGCCTAAGTAGCATTAGATTTGTTTTTCACTCCAGCAATGTGCTGTAACCACGTTCAATGGGTTTGTATATTTAACCTTTGTACACTTAACATTCACAGTCCAAGTCCCTCCCAATCTCAGTTTCTTGCACAATAAACTGCAACTTTTTGCTTCTTCTCTTCGTAAATTAAAAAATTATAAACATGCAACATTTGCGTATAAATTAACAGAGCCAAGCATTTCTTATAATAGCAGTCTACCACAGTTTAAGCAAGACCAGATGCAGAAGAGATGAGATATCCAAAATACACCCTTTTCATAAAATTGTAACATTTTTATATAAATGTTGTACTACATTAACATACAACTATAATCTTAACTATGAACTCAAACTTTTTTAATACAGTATATAGAATTATATGTTTAGTACAAATATAATTACTATGTAATCTGCAGGACATATAATTATGCAATATATGAATAGTACATGCCAATTACTATGTGATTGCAGAGCAACTACATGGTTATTTGTGCCTGAGAGTCAACTGGTGAATTCCACTCTTTAGAACAAGATTCTGTGGAAGAGCTCCGAATGGGGCATTGCAATACAAACAAGGCATCAGCTCACTGTATGATATATTATAAAGCATGCTTTAAAAAACATCCCAAGATGTAATAAAGCACCTCTTTGCTGGTAATCATATACACGTTTTCCATTAAGGGTCCAAAATGTAGTAAATGCTGCCACAGAATTAAAAAGCAATGTGAATATGAACACCTCAAAAATCAAAAAAGATAGGTTAATCAATCTTTTTAAAAAGCAGAGCATAAGCCAATTCACTGACAGCGCAAACAGCAATGAAAATTATCTTGGATTAAACTTGAATTAGGTGCAAATTGTTCACAAACAATAGTTATGCATATTCACATCTTTCATGCAATTTATATCTACCCAAGACTCGGATTCCTCTACATGTCAACGCTGAACATGGATGACGCTTTTTTGGGTTTTGTTTTTTAAACTAGCCCTGGCTGTAACATACCACTTGCCTTTTCTATTTTGATGCATATGTCTCTAGCTATTGTTTCTGGTATATTTATCATCACATGATACAAATTATTTTCACCTTTTAAAACCAAGACTAACATACAACACGTGAGAGAGACGCGTTAACTGCATTTGAATTAAACAAGACTGTCTAAACCAACTCTTCTCATTAATGCCAACTTCTCCCAAGCTTTTAAATCATGTTTTAATGCAAAATTTACAATCCAGGACATGCTTTATGCTTTATTTTTATTGCAAAAGTACAACATAATTATTCCATAATTATTCCTAAGTCCTGTGTTAATTGCAAACAGTTAACAATAATACTGAGAGTGTTTCTGAGGGTTACTTATGCAGCAGTAATACATAAGGTCAAAATTTCACCAAGCTTCTGTTCTGCAAAGCTTAAATTATTAAGACAGGCAGGAATTTGGCTCTTACTAGGCACTGACTACGTTAAGTGCAAATGGATCTAATCCAGAGCTACTTTTCCTGCCAGCATCCTTTGGGAGAAGTTTGTGTAAGGAGATCCTTTTTCAGTTCCACCCTCTCTTGGGGCACTTGGAAATGGATTGAGGGTGGTCAGAGCAGCAGTCTGGGACAAGTAACGATTCCTTCCTGCCACCATTTCCCCACCCAGAGCTGCTTCTCTCCCAAGTCCACTTTGCCTTGGGCCCATTCTGGAAATCTCTGCCAAACCATGCAGCTCTCTGCTCCTGCCAAATCACTGCGGACTCCGAGGTAAGTTACTTCCAGGCAGGTGATAAGTGATGTCTCATGCCTGTGTGCACTGGTTCCCACCCATGGCAAGGGGCCCAGCAGAGCAGATCCGCAGACAGCAGGGATGCTGCCTCCCAGCAGAAGTCACCAGCAGCTGCGAGCTGCTTCCCTGCTATGGCTGCTATCCCAATGCGGTGCGGGCAGAGTCATGGCAGAACACAGCCAGAGCCAGGAGCTGCTGCCTTGGTGGGAAAGCAGCAGCTCCCAACATTCATAGAGTTAGGATGCCTAAAAACGTCCCCCTACCAGGCAGTTTGCTGCACACTATGTACAAAAACTCTGGGGCAGCAATAACTGGCTTAGTGATACTAACTTACCTCTACATGGATCACCGGCTCACAGCTCTTCTACTGCGCATGTAACACGTGCATGCAAGCTCAGATGGTTTTTCTGATAAATTTTACTGATGAAAAAGCAGGTCTTGTATTATAGTATAAGGTGTAACCACTTTGATACTGGTTATCTCCTGAACCCACCCCCCGGCCCAACATTGTTACAGCTGCAACACTTCTGGACTCAAGCTCCCATAGGACAGCAGAAAGAAGCCAGCCAAATACTCCAGTCTTTTTTTCCAGAGATCTTTCTAAAGTTTTAACAGGGTTTCCTCTGCCCTGTATGATCTTCCTTATGCTTCACCCTCTTTCACAGTCTCTTCACCTTAATCTTTCATCTTCCTTGCATTTCCATTTCTATTTCATTTCTGCACGTACTGAGCCTTTGACTGTCTCCTCAAGTCCTGTTAACCCCATGGTGCACAAGAAGGGATTCTCAGTGGATATTGGAAGCTTCTTATTCGTGCTCCCACTAAATGGAAGGAGCAAAAGGACTATTACTTGTTCTGCAAGATTCTTATTAAACAGAAAAATTGACACTTAGTTTTCAATTTTCTTACAGCACATAAAAAGCAATTCACTGAGGTTGTCATTAAAATTACCATTACTATTTGCAAGTAATTAGTATTAGTAGGTTTTCTAGGGGTTTTAGTGAACGGAATGCTGTAAAGAGAGCAGCAAATGTTAATGTGATGGAAGGCAAAATTGCAAAGTGACAGTGGTGACCACATGGGTACAGGCCTACTCCAACACAGGTGCAGAATATGGCATGTAGGAACCAAAACCTGACCAGATTAAAGAGGAGAACCATGATCCCACTTCAACACAAGTGCTGCTATGGGGTTCACCAAAGTACTTCTGCTTTGTAAGAAGAGCAGATTAAAAAATAAGGAAAGCATGGGAAATATTGTCATCTGCATTTTAATGGATTCAAATAAACTACCATTTTCCTGGACAAATTATTTCTAATCCCAAATGGCAGAGAAAAAATGAGTCATCCCTGAGAAATCATGACACTGGTACACATACGTGTTATTCTGAGGTTCTACTTGTCTTCTATTTAGCATTTAGAGAACACTCAGGCCTACTTCAAACCTTTTCCATAATCACAATAAGCAGATGCTTTACTTTTAAAATGAAAGCTAATACATTACCAGCTATAACCAGGGCTTTCAGAGTACTAGCAAATATGACAAGATGCACGTTGAAACTACAGTCAATGGCACCAAGTGACAAGGGTGAGACTGACTCCTCTGTGCAGAGGGGCACACCCAGGGCTACAGCAACAAAAGGACCTGAACAAACAAAACTGCCTAAACTAAGACTTTAGGTTCCTGAGACCAACGATGGAACATTTTATATTCCTGGTCAGTCATGTAAGTCTTTGATAACACAAACTCCACAGGTCTCTAGAATTC